ATGAATGTAAAATACTGTAGTGTCTATGTTATGGGATTTTTGCCTTGCTCTGCTCATTCAGTATCAAACTTTTCCCAAACTCCATATAAATGTCTCACTTTTCAAGTTATTATGCTGTGTTCTCCCTTACTGAATGTCAATCTTTTTTTATTAATATTCATGTCTCAAAATAACCAAAGACAACATGAATGACAACTATCTTTTTCAATAATGAAATAGTTTTTACTTTTCTATAAACTTAATGTATATTTTTGACAGTCATCTCAGAATCAATTTGAGTTGGAAATATCTTTATATCCCAAGCTTCTGCGATAACTGTCTCTCCACACACTACACACTCCTTTAGGTGTGCAGAACAGCCTGACAACTCCATAGGTTATCATTTGATGAGAATTCCATCTTCTGGAGTGTGGAAAGTGTCAAACCAGTACTCTTCTCTTCACTATGTTTTCTATCTTAATGGCTCCTGTTGCATTTAAATAAGGAATAAGAAATGTTCTTGAGGAAACATATTCAATTAACAAATATATGATGAGCACCAATTATGTGTATAGCACTTTGGCGATACAAAAATGTATTTTCTCTTTAAAAAAAACCTTAAAATATTCTAGGATGAAAAGGGTTTAACATACAGAAGTTATATAAGAATGCTTAATGTAAAATGTAATACAGTAGAATGAACTGAATCCAGTACTAAAATGAGTAGCACAGATGACAGAGGTGAATTAGTATTTAATGAGATTCTACAACATTTCAGGCACTGCAAATTTATTACATAACTTATTCCTACAAAACTCAAAGGTATATACCAACTTTACAGATGAAGAAACAACCTTAACACAGTTTGGCAAAAAATATAGAATAAGACAAATCTAATGACTGAGACTGTCTCCAACTACATAAAACATGATTTAAGAAATGAGAAAAAAATGACTTGGATGTTGGGTAACTAACACAAGTTCCAAAGCTAGTAAGGAAAGTATCTAAATCCATACTTGTATGACAGCTCTAACAAATATACAATATTACATACTGACCTTGAGTTCACATCTTCTGATTCTAAATATTTTTACATTTTATCACACTACCTAATACAACTAAAAATTATTATAGGATGCAAAGTGATAGATTAAGAGAATGTTTCGTATTTTCCTACTAGAGACTTGCTGTAGCATAAATATTTTTATAGAAAATTTTTGTAAGTCAAAGTATATCAGTGGTAAATATTGGAAAATAATTACCCCAAAATGAAGACTATCTCATCTATAGCTACTACCACTTTGCTCCTCTTAAAAAATGGGATATAAACTGGGCCTCCCCTGGTGGCGCAGCGGTTGAGCACTGGGTTGCAAGGCTGCCTGCAGCCTCTGCAGCGTCAGTTCAATCCCTGGCCACCGGCGAGGGTCCCACAAAAAAAAAAAGGGGGATATAAACTAAAATTATTATTTAATACACAAAATGAATTCAGTGCTATTAAAATAAAATTTCTTCTTCTGAACTATGGCTCAAATGGTAACTATATCAAAATCTTAATTTGATATTTCAGTGGTAGTTTCAAGGGACCAATTTCGTTCATGAAAAAGACCAGAGTAAACAGGTTCTTAACTCAATTGAATCATATAAATATAAAATAACAATTACTTATTCTTCAAAACAAGAATTCTGCTACAAAAAGTAGGTCAGATATATATATGACTTTAAAATATTTCTTTGAAAATTAATAATTATCAATCATACTGAGTAATATAGTACTATGTACTAGGCAATGTGTAAAGTGATTTACATGCATTCTCATATAATCCTTACAATAGTCAAGTTTGAACATATTTTTCCATTTAAAAATGAGAAAATGACCTTATTTGTCTTCGGTTATATAGTTAATGAGCATATCATAGAGTTTAAATCAGGAGTTTGGATTATTGAAATTTAAAGCCAATAGGGGAGAATTTAATTATGGTGTGATACATGTACTATAGAATAAACTCTCAACACTAAAATGTAGCAAAGTTTAAAGAAATAGGATAATAATCGAAAGTACATTTTTATCTCCTTTAGCATGTATATAGATCAACCAAAAAAAAAAAAATTCTGAAGTTAGTTTGAAATACTGAGAAAATTTGATCAGAGCATGTAAATATTTAAGATTTTGTGACATGTAACATTAAGAGATAAGTTAAAATGAGTTTTAAAAAAAATCATTTAGATTAAATGAGAGGTTACAGATTAATCAAAATTCAAAATTGTAAAGAAAAATTAACTATTGACATAGTTCTATGTATTAGTAGTTTTTGGTACAAAAGCTGTAATTCACAGATTTAAAAGGAAGACATTTATGGCTACAAAAGGCGGAGGTATCACAGACAACTTAAGTACTTTGGCACTAGAGCTAAAGTCTTTGGCTAAAGGTGATTTTTAATAGTGTTGAAATACACATTTTTACCAAGGGATTTTATAAAGTCTTATCCAAAGCACAGATATCTAAAGCAGCTAGAAATGAGAGGTTTTCTGTTCTTTTTGGAGGAAAATGTTTGTTTGTCATTTTGGCTCGTCTCAAAATCAAAGATATGGTCTTGGTTAAGAAATTTTTTTTTTTCAGACCTATCTGATGTCTGTCAAGAGTGACTGGATGGAGTTAGCCCTTGTCCCCAGGGTGTATGAGTCAGTATAGTGGGGTGCCAGACTCTTAAGATAGGCAATCACAAGTGTCTTTTCAGTACAAGTTCTCAGACCAGGACATACCTTCCTGAATATTTTGCAGATTTTCCCTTTGCTGTGTAAATGATGTCCTGAATCTCATTCTTTCATTCCCTACAAACTGCCTTTATCTGATATGAGAAAGACTTGCCTGTTTTTTAATTAAGTACAATATATATATTATTGGTGCCACAGAGAAATACTTCTGGGTATGCAAAGTACAAATGTGGTGCTTTGTTCATACTTGACCGAGCTTTCCTCACAGAATAATTCAATGAGAAAAGGTCTCTCTGTTTTTAAAATCAAATCTACCTTTCAACTATTCCCAGAATTATTTCTCTTCCTTTCCTTTATTCTCACTCTGGCTTCTGTCATCACCTTTGCTTTTGCTCCAAGGAACTAGCAATATAGGTGCATATTTTTTCCTTGCATTGTCAGGGTTTTAGGATGTAGCTTGAGACTTATCTCTGATAAGTATGTTATATATCTCTGATATTTGGTCTCTGCAATCCTTTTAGTAACAGCTGATCATGATGTTACAGTCTATTACCGTTATTCACAACAGAATTAGTAAAATTTCTGAGAAAAAAATGAAAGCACAATCTGAAGAAAAATGATATAATAGAATTAACAAAAAATCCAAAACAACACTCAACATTACCATGTAATGTTATCCATGTACTAAATTAGTAAAAGGGAATATTTTCAAAAAAATTTCAAAAGAAAAAATGGAATTTTTTTTTTCACATAATGTTCTTCATTATATGTTGTTAGCTCGAGGAGATGCTGTAAATGTTATAAAGGAAACATATATAACATAGATAAACTTAACAAAGCATGAGAATGTGAGAATTAATGATGACAGAGAAGACAATCTAAGAGTGTTGTAAGAATTTATGGAAGCTTGATGTATGATGATTCATGAAAAAGAATGAATGTAGAAAAGCAGATACAAATAAAAGTTTTCAATAGGCTGAAGGGGTAATTAAAAGACTTTTATGTGATAAGGGAAGAGATAGTAAAACGATAGGAATTACGTTGGAAAGTAGACTAACTGGGAAACTAAATCATGCAATAGCAAAGCAAATGATGAGTTCAGACTCCTGCTTTCATTTCCCTGTAATGCCATGTTACACTTCTTATTTTTGCCCTCATAAAAATGATTTTAAAATTTCATTTACCATCTAGACAGGACTTAAGGCAGAGGATCCCACAGCTCATATCTGATACTCACATTTCTCCCATTCCTTTAGCATATTTATTTTTAATGGATGTGGGAGGAAGAGAATTAGAAATGCACCTCTGCCATGAGAAAATAAGTGGGATTGAAGAGTCTTATTCTTCCATTATGACTCCTAATCAGATTTCCCTGTGAAGAGATTAATCTTGTCCTTCAGGTAAAGCTTTATATTGTTGCCATCAACTGCACAGAAACATTTTTTTAAATAATTGCACTGTTAACATGTGGAAGGAATTTAAAGTATGATGCGTTTTTCTATCAATTTCACTGGTTCTACTGTTTCAGCAGAAAAACTTTAAAATCTGAGACAGGAAATACAGGAACTTTACTTTCCTTCACTAGAGAGGATGGACTAAGCTATTAGAAGGATGCCATAAAAGGAAACTAGAATATTTCTTTAAAAGAAAGTGAGGGAAGAACATGCTCAAGAAGTGAACTTATACCTTATCCAAGAACTGAACAATTATTACCTTGAACATTCATCGTAGTGTGCACTATTAAAGTATAGTTTGCTGTCATAATGTGATCTCAGGATGAAATTTCAGCATCTTTCCATATCCATTTATGAGGCTATATGGGTGAACTGAGAGATGTGGTGACTTATAATGACCAAGCATTAGGTTATCATTAAGTTTTCATTCAACTTGGCCTATCTGAAAAAATTGAAACTGTGCAGAATTCAAAAAAATGATGCAAAGTTTATTAGACCCTGAACAGTAGATTATATGAGAAAAATTGCAAATGAATTTCAAATTGTGATGGATAGACAAACTAAGTGAAGAAGAAATTTTGATGAATTCTACCAGGCTTAAAACCATTTTGTTAGACATATGTACATTTACAATACAACTCTAAAATGACACAACTTAAGAAAGGGACTATGCCTTTGATGTCCTTTGTACAATGTATGCCAAACACATGCAAATGCTTAAAAACTTGATTCACTGTGATGAAAATCACATGGCAAATGAGATAGCCACTTTATATTACTCTTTAAATACAAAAAACATTCAAATTCTGTTTATTAATATAAATGAAAACATTTGCTTTACTAAAATGATATTACCTGTAAGGATAGCCATGGTACTTGGAACGAAATATTGAAAGTAGAAAACTGAAGAAGAAGACCACTAGGCCTAATCCCACTAGGCAAATTACTAGAAAGAGACAAAAAATACCATTAGAATCCAGAAAAACACAATCCACAGGTTTATTTTTTTAAATCATTCAATAAATTACAATATGCTAACATTTAATAGGTCATGGCACATTCAGGTACAACAAACCAAGTAACAATGCATTCATGATTTTCCACATTCTTCTCAATGAAAATGTATTATATTTGGGGTGTGAAAACAACAAAAGTGACTGTTCTAAGTGTTCGGGTAGTTTTCTTCTCTTACAAAATTCCTACAAGTACTAAAATGCCCCAAAGGGATAAAAACAAAACAAAATATCTGATAAACCACAAACAAGATTATCAGCCACTGCATTATGAAGCTTTGGTTATATTAGCAGAGACATTTGCATTATTAGAGTGCTAAATATAATTCTATTCTTTCAGGTGTCATGCAATATTTACAAATAAATATAATTTTAGGTTATTGGCTGGAATATTGCCTCACTAAAAGTCTGTTACTTAGAAATAGTTTATCCTAGTGTATGGACGTCTAGGAATCAAAGCTAGAAGGGTGAGACAATATGGACTTCGTGAGTTTCACAGAGCGGGGAAATGCCCCTAAAGAGCAGGACAGGATACGCAGACTGTTTTACAAAGGAAAAATGCCATGTTACAAGACAATGTGCTATGCTGTAGTGCATTGTCCCAAACAAGCTAGCAATAGAAAAAATATGTTTTTTCCTTTCTATAATTTATAAGAAGATTTTACTCTAAAGATGAGCAATAAAATACTATTAAAAGAACCTAATATAATTCCAATTCTTAGTAAGATTCATTGCTTGAGTAAAATTTAAACATGCTTGTAAAAATGCTTAAAAATCAGAGCCAATTCAAGTATGTTTAGAATAAAAGTAAATATATTAAAAAGTGAATTTTATTTAAACAGAAATTAGGTATCTCTTAAATGTTTAGATATTTCTTATTAAGAATAAAATATTTGTATAATACTTGCATTCTTTCACTAGTTTCAGGGAATTCTTAAAAATGCTAAAAAATTTTGAAATGATTAATTAGGAAAGAGGAAGACAAAGATTAAGTATACTTAAGCAAAAGAAAAGAAGGAGAATCAAAGAGTTCCATGTGCTTGTATTTTTGTTTTTCTGGCATATAAAACCAGCTTTAATTACAGACCTGGAAATCAGGGAGTAAATAAGGTATGACATTGTCAAAAATATAGTCTAGAGATCTGTTAATGAGTTTTACTCAAATCTGTAGGAATATCATTGTGAATTTTTAGTTCAAATTGTGCAGGTATCAGTGTGTAACAGTATTCAAATGCTGCCTCTGACATTTCAGACAACACTCATGCAGTTTAACTTCAAATGTATACTGGCAAAAAACAGGTTGCTGAATATCACAAACATGAAAACGCCTTTTTAAAAAATAGTAGAATATCTAACTGACAGATAACAACCACTAAACACAATTTTTCAACTTTGCTTAGAATTCTTCTAAATCTGGAATATGCAATGCCTTGCTTTATGCCTTCCCATATTTGGTATTTTTGTCAAATATTTCTTCCTTTTGTCTTTTTTTTCTAAATTTGTCAGAAGCTGGAAAAAAAAAAACACTTTTCACTTCCTTTTGCTGCTCTTTGTTGTCTCATTTGGTTATGCTAAATGGAAATGAGGTTCAAAACATGTGCTCAAATAAAACAGAATACATTTAATTCTATGCAGTGGAACAAAATGCTAATCAAGTACTTGTACACAGAAAGAGGGTCTGAATGAGCAGTTAGTAATTACTCTATGGGTAAATAAACCACTACAGTCCACACAAAAGAACATACCTGTCACAAGAAAATGCTATCATAACATGGAAGTATTCTGACAGAGGCAATTAGTTTTATTAGATAAAAAATAAAAATAGCACTAGAGTGAAAAAGGAATAAATATTCCTCAGGTCTGTCTCTCACACATATACATGCATACACACATTTACAATTTGGCATTACATATTTGTTGAAGGGATATATAACTATTGAGGTAAGAAGCAATGATTTTTATAAAGCCTGCATCATAGATGTTGCAAGATAAAAAATACACATTAATATTATTTACTTTAATAGGGTATGAGAAATATCAGTCTATCCTCAGAAACAAATGTTAATCCCAAGAACAGCAAATTATTCTAAAGGATACAATAAAAAAGATATAAAATTTAAGCAATATATTCACTGCTACTACATTCAACATGTTTCAATACTTAGATACCCAAGTATTTGGAAAACTATGATTCACTTACATGCATGTAACCCTATCTAAAAATCCCTTTACAAAGCTCCTCATACATAAATTCTAGGTTCTAAAAACATGAAGCACTTTGAGGATTTTAATTATGGATTTGTAAAGTTGTTTTTAGAACCTAGAATTTATGTACAAGGAGCTTGGGTATCTGAAAAAGACTTAATGTATTAATATTTTAAAATTAAAATTCACACTTTATAATGGAATTTTTAGAGAGGGTTGCATGTTTGTAAGTTATAATCATGAAAACACATAGGGAGCTGATATTATTAAACAGTCTGTGGCAAGAAATAATGGATTGATGCCTTCAGTCCTTTTTTAATCTATACTCCTAAGGGCAAAGTTTTTTTTCCATCTTGTTGCCAAATTTTATTAATTTACAAAAACTTAATTTTTTTCTGCCATCCCCCAAGGAACAGTCTCATCAAAGGAGTTCAAAACACAGTTAACTTGATTAAAAACATAATACTGGAACTTGATGGAACTGTAAATCTTGGAATATCACTAGAAGCCCCTAGAAAAAGTATCAAGAAATGACCTCTTTTTTAAATGTTGGTAAAAAAAGAATTGGAATTAATCGGAATATTTCAGTGTACAATATCTATGCAAAAATGCCTGAGTCCATCTTTGAATGCATACCTGATTCTTGTGGTATAGGGAGCCTACTACTTGCCAATAAAATCTCTGAAGACTGCACAGAATTCTGTCTCTTCCTGTAGGGTGGATGTTACTAGAGAGAGCAAAGCTTCAGTAGAGATGTGTCAGAGCACCCCAGACAAGGATAAATAGCAGCTCTCTTTGATGTGCAATTCCATAGAATGTCACCCAATCCCAGCATGGAAGAAAGATATTTTCAAGTGCTGGCACACACACATCCAAGAAACAGAAAAAATAAGTGGAAAAAAATCTTAATCTTCTTCAAACCAGAACTTTTAGAAGTTCGTTTATAAGGGAGTTTTATATATTTCCCATCTGATTTAAATGAGTCATAAGACTGAAACGAAATTACAATAACATCAATACAGACTTACTCCGTCTTTTTCCAACATCTCCTTTGGATGTTGCCGCTTCATTTAGAAGAACCATCCCCATGGTGATAGCAGCATCTATAGTAGTTGTCAAGGAAACAGTGGAAATAGATGCAAATACAATCTACTATTTTTTTTCTAGTTCTGAACACAATGTCTTCTGTTCTAGAAAGGTTAAACTACAATACACAGACATAAATAAAATCCGTTTTCTGTATATAAGATTACCATAACTTAGTATTTAAATATGCCCTTTTAAATATATATAACCTTGAAATTTGAATTTGTGAGATTTTGAAGGTTTAATTCTAAATGATCTTAAATTCTTGGTCTTTCTCCATGGACTCTCAAGCAGTTAAAGACTGATAACATTTTATATATAAAGATACATACTAGTTGTAATTACAACTGACAATAAGATTACTGGCAATCAGAAAATTAGATGCATTCAGCTTTTTCCCCCCATTTTCAGTGTCTCTGGGTGTACAACTTTCTTCACTTCTAATGTGTTGTTGCATGAATTATTTTGTTGAAAGAAATTTTTAATGAGATCAGTATTATGTCATTTGGAAATTTTTGGCATACAGTTACAAACTTTAAAAAAGCAAAGAAAGACATTGCTATAAAACAGTCTAAAAATTAAGCAGGATCTTGATTTTATTGCTTAACTGACATTTTAAGACTGACAACACAAAAAGACTTCCGTACTTACTGTCTGTTTGCAACAGAATAAGTATATTCATGCCATTCTGAGCGATGCCAGGGATTAGAAAGATTATGGGAGCTTTTCCCCCTTATAAGAATATTTTTTGCCATATTATTAAAATATGTTTGATATGGACTAATACGATTTAAGACCTCACCAACTCTAGAAATTTATTATTCTAACCAAATGACTAGTACATTAAAATTAAAGAGAAAAATAACAGCAATTTTCATCCAAAAATTCCTAAGTAATCTCAGAATTTCTTTGTATTTCTATTGCTTTATGTGTATAACCAGTCAGTACATTTCCTATGCAAATGAGTCCAATCTGTAGAATAAAAACTCAAATATTGTCTGGCTATGTCTGTATCAAGTAGAGGAAGTCTGAGGAAATTCTGCAGCATAAACATTTCTACACTCCATCGCTATATTATTAAACATCTGACTAGTAATAGATACAGTAATTAAGTCTGCTTTTATGGTCATATTATCCAACTTCTCCCAATTAGTCATTTATACTTATCCTGACCTTTATGTAACTTTTTCTGCGGGGGGAAAAAAGGAAACCAACCAATCTTGGTTGAAAGCTTTATACAAGAGAGGATTATCAGCCCTATAAAAGATTATCACCCCCCCAATTCATATATCATATGCCACCACTAAACTTGAGGGATTCATGAATCAATTTTAAAAACTAGAAATTCCTTTAACTTTGACTAGTGGTAATCTGAAACAGATCATGTAAGAGTTATTTCAAACTATTGATGACAGTTTAAGGATCTTTGATATGATCATTCCTTTTTTGTATACTGTTTATATCTTTACCCATTTTCCACAAACAAATTTATCTTTTTTTTTATTTGTGGGATGTTTAATTTTTTTCCTGGATATGAACTTACATGTTGAGAATAGGTTCCCCTATTTTGTCTTTCAAATTGTCATGCAGAAGATTTCATATTGCTGTTGCCAAAATTATGAATCTTTTCCTTTACAAGTTTTGGCAATTGTTTCTTGCTTGTGAAATGTTTACCTCTAAGTTCTAAAAACATTTAAAGCTTTTTCTAATATCTTTAAGATAAATAAGGTAATGTCATTTTTCTGCTCAGAATTGTCTAATGGCTTTCTATCTCACTGTGCATAAATCTACAGACCTCAAAATGACCTTAAGGCCATATGTGATTTGTGTCCTGATATGCTCTCCATATGATTGTAGTTGTTTGCTCTTATTCTTGTCCTATCTATTCCTTTCAAGAAGAGAGGAACCTCTCTGCCTCTGGATCATTGCTTACTTCCTTACTATTCCCCCAATTTAAAATGCTCTTTCCCCAGATGTTCATGTAACTTATAATAACTGAATCTGTTACTTCCCTTCAGGTTTCTACTCACACACAATGTTATCCAAAAAGCCTCCTCTATCCTCTCTACTTGTTTTATTTCACTTTCCTTCGATTGCAAACCAAAACAGCATAAAAAATATAAAGTAGAACATCACAGGGTTAAATAAATATGATGGAGACAGGATGAAGGAACAAAATATCTCTGCTTTAATAATATCTCTATGTTAGCATAAAAGTATGTAAAATGAAAATAAAACATATAAATGTCATCTTTTTAGAAACGAATAATGAAATGTAGGAAAGACAGTAAAAACGAAAGTTAATAGCAACTATCATGTGGGTAATGACATCATGGGTTTTTGTTTTCTTAATTCATATATCCTGAGGAGTAAACTTTTTCTGAAAAGGGACAGAAATTAGACATTTTTGGCTATGCAAAATTGAGCTACTAAACTGCTGCTGTAGTGCAACGCAAGCTAAGACAATACATATATGATTAAATTGTGTCTGTGTCCCAATAAAATTTTATCTAAAAAATAGTAAATAAGTTAGACTTGGCCTTGACAATTACCAGTTGGTGATCACAAGCTATATAGGAACTAAGGCACTGCTCAAGGTACTATGAACTTTGTATGTGAGAACTGTTAAAAAATAGCAAAATATAAGAAGGTAGTAACACTCACACACAATCCCAATGTAATAAACTTTAAAGCAGTGAGATTGCTAGTTACAAGTTGACTAGAATGCCATAGTAAACTATTTTATCAGAAAGCAATAAAGTCAGGAAACAAGTGCCACCTTGCCCTCAAATGTTTCCTGCTAAAGTGAGAAATGAGCTGTGAATTTACTTTAAATTTGATGGCTGCAATTAGATATATAAATAAACCAAAATGGCTTTAAATTTACCCACTCTCCCTGTCTTTTAAAGATACATTTGTAACTAAGGTCTTTTCAAATATAATTAAGTGTCAATGTATCAACCAAAAAGAGTTTTGACTAAAGGAGCCTACTTTATGCTTATCATTTAGGGGAAAAATCACATGGGTGACAAGTTTTTATACACAGGATTAATTTTTAGACTTAGGAAGAGGCTAGATGATCATCTGTCAGTTGATGCATATGGCTTCCTTCCATGGGTGGAAGGTTGAATGACTAACAAAAGCTCTTACAAATCTAACCCTGGAATAATACATGCCTTTCTTCTAGTAAATGGACAGGCCTCATCATTTGTGCCTTAAAGTAGTCCCAAGGTTTTAAAATAGAATAAAGGTACTAACTATGTTGTGAATAAATATGTAGCAGCTTCTTAGACTTTGTATTGTGCTGAAATTTTATGCCTGCCTGAGTGCACGTATACACACAGACCTGCTCTAGTTCATGTCCTACTTTGCACATTTGTAATAAATATCACAGAATTGCATACTTCAATCACTATGCCATATCTCTGCTAATCCTGTCATTCACCTTCTTACTGCTTAAAAAGTCAAAATATTGACAAGATTCCACGTAAAATAAAAACAGCTATTTGTGTAAATTATACACAAAACCCAGAGGCACTGAGCCTCCTACTTAACTAGTAACAAATACATTTGCATTACATTAAAAGCCACTCTCATTTGCACATGGTAAGTTTATGGTTTCTCCTAAGAAGAAAGTCAGGAATGCCAATTTAAAGATAAATGAGACTAGATGTTAAAAACTTTAGCACATTATAGAAGACTTCAAGGAATCTAAAATTATCTTGAACACGCATCCATCATTAATTTTCTTCTGTAGTATGTATTTTCATGGACATAACACATTACAAAAAAGAAACATTTGTTATTACAGATTGAAAAGAAGTCAGAATAAAATCATACTTTCATAATAGAAAACAAATATTTTCTTATAGAAAAAGTAAATGTGATGTTACAAGAATGTATAGATATACATACATCTTGAAATATTTTAAAATTATTATTGTTAGTAAAAACCTTTGCCTTTTTTATTAGCAGTTACACTTGTAACTCATGTCACCTTCCTGAGATGCTAGAACTTAAAAGGATGTGTAAAATTAAAAGACAGGTTAGAGTTAGATTTTATATATAAATAATTAAGAGTAAAGTCAGTCCTAAAACTTGCACATCCTATATTCACTGACAGTTACATATCTCAGATCTTGGTGAACTCAGATAAGATTCAGATTTCTTAGCAAGTTGTAGGAAAATTATTGTTAACTAGCTATAGTAACCTTTCTTAATGCCCCCATCACAATTTGTGTACATTATTATTTTATTTTTTGTACCTATTGTAGTTTCTACTACAACAACTCTCTCTTGCTTGGTCTTTGAGAAACTGCCTTTGCTACTTTAAAACCCAGCTAAAAAGTCAGTTCGATTTTTCTAGGCATCAAGTTGTTCTTTCTATCCTTCCTTGTTATAAGTACTGATAATAGCAGTTGTTACACTGGATTTTACTTATATATCTATCAGTCTACCTTTTTGTAAACAGCAAATTCTTAACCATATTATATTAGATATTAAAATATACAGCTGAGTGAAAAACAAAAAATTACAATGGGAAAATATAAAGGATTACATAAGTTATTCTTAGACAAGTCATATACACAGCTCACACATATTCATATTAAAATGTTATACTTCTATTTCCTTTTAGTATAGTTTTTCTCTCTCATAGGCTACTACTTAGAAATGTATTTTCTTTTCTAAATAAGATACCGAAGAAAAACATTACTAATGGGGAGGAAGTCTTATTCATAAAAAATACTAATCTATAAGCTATGACATCAAATGACTTAATCTGTTCTTAATTTTTTCCCAACAAAATTTTGTATCTCATAATTGCATCTGATGATCTGGTTTACTAAATTTGGAGGAGAAAATCTAAAGGTTCTCTATAGATAAACAAAAATTAACCGGCTTTTGCATAAAAGCCAAAAAAAACCTTGCATTTAAAAAAAAAAAAAACTACTACTAAAGTCAAGTCAAATTAATATAGTGATATGTTTTTAACTTTTACTGATAATTTCATGAGTTCACTGTTTTAAAAGAAAATTTCTCCTCTATTTTTCATAGATACTCCTAAAACAAAATAACAGGAGAAACAAATGCAACAAATTACGGTATCATAAAGAGATTAGGGACTTTTAATTCTTTTATGCATTACTGTTAAAAATCTATATGAAGGCTTCATACTGCTTGTGAAATTTCTTTGCATCCTAAATCTCAGCTTGATGTCAATGAGCCATGAAATGAAACTTCGGAGAATTCCAGCCTTACAATGGAATGATGGTCTCAACACAGAATCTCATTGCTTTTGCTAGGTACTCCTGTTGTGGTTAACAGACTAGCTGCTTTGAATATAATATACCACTAAAATGCCAGGTCATGAATTGAAACAAATAGAATAGGAAAAGAAAATAAACTACAATATGTAAGTAAGAGCTAAAAGATTACATGCAATAAATACTTTGTTTCTTCCCATTGTGCTTTCACACAAATGTACTTTTCTTCGTTAATATATTATTAAAAGATAAATTAACAGCAAATAAGTTCTCTTATTTATCTTACTAAAGAGGAAGAGATGTTCCTATAAACGTATTTGCAAATATTTCATGTTCTTACCTAAGTCTCCTCTAAGATATAAAAATTATTAATTTCTTACTTTATTGATACTGAAACCTAGTAACTACTGATTGAGATCACAACATTTAAATTTGTTCAAATGTTGGTATTTCAATTCTAATCTTAGACAAACTATAGCAAAAAAAAAAATTAAAAAGCCTCATCATTAAAGCTTCACTTTGAAACCACAATGCACACAGATAATTAAATGCAAGAAAGGAATGGAAAGACAGGCACAATTCCACATGTGCCACAGGATGTGTAGTCAAGGTGGAAGGAATAAAAATGTTGAGTACTAATACAGAGAAGATGGTCAATGTTGCTCAGTTGCAGAAAGTGTTAGATCCCTCTGCAGTTTGAGAGAGTGTATAACCTCTCAAGCTTCACTTCCAAGGTCAAATCTTCAAAAAGTTGTCTTTTTATTGTCTTTTAATTACACGTTTGAATGGGTTCAACAAGTCTTCCAAAAAAATTAAATCATTCAGTATGTTACCAAGGTAACTTTCAAGAATTCTGGTAAATACCATAGGACTACATTTGTTTTTTTTTTTTTTCCCCCCATTCATTCTGTCAAATGTTAAAGATACCTGTGACCTGCAAAGAGAAATAAAAAAATATAAAAGGATCCCTTCCCTTATAACATTTAATGAATACTAGATGCTTTATGTGTATTACCCCATTTACTTCACAGAAAAATATGTTTACTTAAGTCTGATTTTACAAATGTGGAATAGTTTGTGAGGTTCTCAAGAACTAGAAGCAGTGCTTCAAGCACTCCCCCCTATTCCTTTCTTCTACGATTACTAATACAAATCTGTTATTTACCAGCACCGGATGCCTTGTTTGGACATGTTTAAAAAACAAATTACTTGAATACATATTTACTGGTATTAAAAACTGCACTTGCATCACGTAACAAGTGAAAAATACAAAACATTTAGTGGTACTGAAAAATCTAATCTTTTCCAAGCAGATTAAAAAAAAAAAAAAAAACTTTCACATGGCTGATTGACATTTCTTCATGAAATCCTGTATCACACACCCTAATAAAGTGTTATAAATAAAACTTAAGTACCTGTAAAACCAATAGACCATTAAAAAGAAAACTGCACTCGAATCCTAGTTCTCCTTCTAACATAAGGCAAGTCAATGAAATTTTTGGGTTTTAGTTTTCCTACCTATAATATAAAGCTTTGACCTAACTGACTTCTAAGAATCCATAAAGGGTTAAATAGGTATGGTTTTATATAACAGTAGAAAATTTGGTATGGATTACTTCATTTGAATATTACTCTTAACCAGGAATGTAATCAAATTTTATAAATAATAACTTTAATTCTGATAATGTCTCAATATATTTGAGCAACACTATAAATTTAATCTGTGCACATATTCAATAATCTCAAACATCTATATCCCCCCAAACAGTTATTTGTCCCAAAAGTAACTTCATATGTTAAAGAATAATTCAAATTTTGTTTTTAATTAGATACTTGAACCTTACCTCTTTTCTATCAATAGTTCTTTCCTATACTATCTTCTTTACCCTCATACCTACAAACCACAAATTGCACTGTATTTACTGAATCATAACACATAGTTTGCTATGTTCCAACAAGAGATATCTAACTACCCCTCTCACACACCATAGTATTAAGGGATCCAGCAGTAAGATAATTTTTGTAATCCTGCTTTTTTTTATTGCAGGACAATTTTGTCCCTACTAAGTTTCTACAGAGGGAAATCATACAAAATTACACATACAACACACGCACACAATCTTCAGCCAGAGATAATTAATGCAGAGCAAAAGCTATATACCATGGAATTCAATGGTCAATAAAAGAGAAAGCTGTTAATGATTTAGAATAAAAACAAAATTATACTGTAATAGGAATTAGCATAATAAAGTCACATAATAAAGTTTAAAAAGAATGCCCTTAGCTTTGGTTTGTCCTTTTCAATCCATCAGTATTTTAAAGGATACTTAGTACCAGAATGATGTGTGACTCTGCGACAAATTGAGCCTGGCTGCTCCCATGAATGTAGCTCTAGAAAGTAAGTCAAAAAAGCAAAATTTATAAACTGGGAAAGATTTTTTTTTGTAGTCTATAAAACAATGGATATAAACAATGTATAAATCTCAGATTAAGCTCCCATTTACAATTCTTTCAAATAAAAGTGATTAGTTCAATGAAAATGCTGGTTGATGTTACTGTAAGCTATAGAAAGCAACTTAATGTCAAAATACATCTAATATAATTTAAAATTTATATACATAGGTATGCCCGTTATTTGATAGCATAAGGTAAAAATTAGAGTAATTAAATTTAATTCTTCATCCTTTAAGCAAAAAAAAGTAAAATGTTAAATCACTCTTCTATATTATCGAACTTTTAAAAATAAGGAGATAGCTTTATGAATGCTTTAATTTCCTTAGCGTATCTTACTTTTTCAGAATATAAGTGCAAAAACTTTAACTCCACTGAGAAATGTACAATTGTAACTAGTTCAGTTGATTATAGAAAATCAGACAAAAATCTCCATCTAGGATATTTTTTGCTTCCTGGAAACTGATTCCCAGTTTCTGCAGTTAATGTCTTAAAGAAATGACTTGTTGAAGAGCTGGCTTTCCTTAAAATTACCTTTCTAGATTTTCTGTTTATGAAAAAAAAAATTGGAGAAAATGTAACCCTCTCAAAATTTTGTGCTGCTTTTATTTTTATTTATCTATTTTTTTTGTAATAAACCTGGCTAAAAGCATGCATGCTTTAATAGAAAGAGAATTTAACCAGGAAACAGCAAATTATCACTTTTGGTATTAGCACTGGACACATCACCAAATCTCTCAGAAACTCAATATCCCTCTCATCTATAAAATTAAGAATGGAAATGACTCCTGCGAACTTCCTGAAGAATAAAGTCTTCTGTTTTTTTATTTTTGTTTTTTAGATGCAATCTTATTTTTGTTGAGGTAGCACTGGTTTACAACACTGTATATGATTTAGGGGAAGAGGTTCACAATGTCAACATACCACACCTATCACCAAAGCAAGCAGTCCTTGACCATAAAACTTGGGCTCCCCTCCCCTGCTCCCCAATGCCACGTAGTCTCAATCTGCAAGGAATATCGAGTTTGTTTTGGTTTATTCTGGCAATCCCTTTGTTTTGTTCTTTGTGTTCCACTATAAGTTAAATCATCTGATATTCTTTCTCTCTTTAACTTATTTAGCATAAGCCCCTTCACTACCATCCGTGTTTTTGCAAACAGCAAGAGTTGAGTAACATTCCATTAAGAATCTATACCACATCTTAATAATTCACTCCCCTGTCACTGGGCATTTACACTGTTTCTATAACATGAGTACTGTAAATAGTGCTGCAATGAACACAGGTGTGTGCATATATCCCTTGGGATTAGTGTTTCTGCATTCTTTGGGCAGATATGTTGTAACAGAATTGCTAGATTATATAGTATACCTATTTTTAATATTTTGAGGATACTCTGTACTGATTTGCATAGGGGCTAGACCAGCCTATATTACCACAAACATACTGTTCTTCCTTCTCCATACCCTCACTGATATTTGTTTCTGGTTTTACCGATATGGGCCACTCTCATGGGAGTGAAGTGTGTTGATTCCTATTTCCCTGATAAGTAATGTTGAATGTTGTTACTTGTGCTTGTTGGCCATCTGTGTGTATCCTTTGGAGAAATGTCTATGTTCTTCTGCCCACTTCTAGACTGGATTATTTCTTTTCAATTTTTTTTTTGGGAGATTAATTTATACAAGAACTAGGGTACAGGTCAGAGGTGTGGGGGGTGAGAGAATTCACCAGAGACAAAGTGGGGAACAGAACAGGCAGACTGCTGAGGGGAGCAGCGGGCCAGGCAGGAGAGGTACACATAGCCATGTGGGTTTCTCCCTGGCTGGCTGGGATAGAACCCACGCTGCAGAGGCTGCAGACAGTGCCACAAGCGCTGTGCTCAACCCGCTGCCCTACCAGGGAGGCCCAATTATTTGTTTTCTTGTTATTGAGTTACATAAGTTCTTTGTAACTCTTGGAGAGTAACCCCTTGTCAGATGTATGATGTGCAAATATTTTCTCCCATTCAGTGGGGTTTGTTTTCATTTTAATGATTTTTTTTTGGTGTGCAGAAGTCTTAGTTTATTGTATCCCCATTTGTTTATCTTTGGTTTTTAAATGCTATTGGAGTTCAAAGTGAAGTCACTTAAGTAAATGTTATATAGTGTTTTTTCTGTTTTCTTGCACGTGTTTTATAGCTTCTGGTATTATTTTATGTGCAAGTGACTGGGTGGACTTCTATCATTTCTCTGCACATAGCTGTACAGTTTTCCCAGCAAAATTTGTTGATGAGACTTTGCTTTCTCCGAGACTTTGCTTTCTCCATTATACTTTTGGCTCCTCTGTCACAGATTAACTGTCCAAATAAATGTGGATTTATTTCTGGACTCCCAATTCTATTCCATCAGTCTGTGTCTAATTTTTATTTCAACACCATACTGTTTTAACTATTATAGTCTTGCAGTAAAGTTTGAAGCCTGGGAGCATAATATCGCCATTCCTTTTCATTTTTATCAAGGTTGCCTGGGGTACATTAAATTTTCTATGGTTGACTATAAATTTCTGCTATTTACACTATTTTTGAAGAATTCCATTGAAGTTTAATAGAGTGCATTGACTCTATATTCATTGCCTTTTCTAAGTTGAACATTTTAAAGATGTGAATTCTTCCTTTCTATGAACATAGATTGGAATATTTTAACATTTCTTTGAGTCATCTATTTTGTACAGAAATCTTAGAGTTTTCATTGAATGAGTCTTTAATGTCCATTGTTTGAAATTGTTTTCTTGATTTCTTTGTCCTCTAGTTCATTAATTGCACATAGGAATGTAACAGACTTTTGTATATTGATTTTTCTAGGCTGTCACTTTACAACACTATTTCTAATAGTTTCTAAATTGCTTATAATTTAATTGAATCACAATTTTCTATATATATTATGTCTTCATTTCACTAAAGTAGAAAAGCAGTAACTGGAGATATTTTCTAGGTGAGTGGCTTCAAGACATTGTCAGTTAATTACTCTTCTTTGGTCAATGTCAACAGATTATATACATTTCAAATATTACATAGTCATCCTTCAGCCTTACTTGGTTTACCTGAAGAATTTGCTATATATGCTCGATTCTCTCTAGAATGCCAATTGATTCTCCTATTTCACTAAACCCTCTTCCTCAGGACTCTTTCATCATCCTACCTGTAAATTCTGATGTGTCTCAGATTTCCAGAAACATAAGCATTTTCTCTGTATTCAAAATTCCCAGGTGTTCTTTATCTAATCCTATGACTTTATTTCTGTACTGAGGATTCCAACATTTTATATCCAGTTTTGTTATTCAGTCTTGTATATTGCTCTGATACATACCCATCTCCACCTGGTATTCTAATAGTCTTTCCTGATAACATTTCACTTGGAAGTCTAAATCATAAAATCATACTGAAATCAAACTCTTGACATGATTCCCTTTGTAGCCCAGAAACATTAACTTAATTCATCTAGTTGGGTGAGGCCCAAACATTGTAATTACCATAGTTTGTTTTCTTGTCCATCCATTTCACTTAACCCCTGACTCCTCCTTATATCACCCATAATTTAGAAATAGACTGTTGACTTTACACTTTACTTTTAAAATCTATTCCAAATTCAACCACTTCTCATGACTTCCAGGCAAAAAGGCTGACAATAAGATCCCAGCAGATGTTACCTCTTACCTAGATTACCAATAATTCCTTTGTTCTTCTGATCTTTATTCCATAGTCTACTTGTCAGCCATCTAAATCCTGTTAAACTATTTAGGTTCTATTATTATTCCACTTAGAATCTTTGAACCCTCTCTTTCAAATGTGTGAGAAGAAGACAATATACACTATATTTTCTACTTCCTGTCACAACACTAACCAACCTATATAGCCATATCTAAGTTCAAAAACAAGAAAAAATGAAAACCTGGTCCTAGAGACTTACTATTTCACTATAACTAATCTAGATCACTGGTGGCTTATTTTTTGTATAGAAGCTTATTTCTTGTACATGAAGTAGTACAGGGGTAACTACAATTATCTCATCTTTAAGCGTTATAGAAAGATACTCCTCAAAATAATTTCCTTAAATTCAAATGTTAAGTAATTAGCACAGTATCTGGTTTTCTCTGCAGTAAATAACCAAAAATAATCAAGAAAAAATCACTTTAAAGCCTCTTCATCTACCTAGAACAAATTATATGTTATCTTCTGAACATTAGCTAATCATGAATAAATAACAATCCCCAAATTTTGTTTTCACAGGTGATTTTAGTGTACTGAACTGATTGAATTAGTGTATTGAGCTAGTGTAAGAACTTGTACTAACTTTTGTTTTTTTTTGCTCATCTTCAGTCATTAAAATCCCTATAAGACTTGATACTCTTGGGCCTCCCCGGTGGTGCAGTGGTTGAGCGCTGGGTTGCAAAGCTGCCTGCAGCCTCTGCAGTGCTGGTTCGATTCCCTGCTGCTCCCCTGCCACCGGAGGAGGGGCCCACATGGTGCGCAGACCTCTCCTGCCACCAGCTGCTCCCCTCAGCAGTGTACTTCGGTCCTTCTGCCTGCTCTGCTCCCTGCTCTGGCTCTGGTGAATTCTCTCACCCTTCGCACTTCTGACTGTACCCAGTGCTTGTATAAATAAATAAATAAATCTTAAAAATAAATAAAAGGAAAGTTTAAAAAAAAAAAGACTTGATACTCTTAAAGACTTCAGGATTGAATAAACTAGAGTCATTTGATAAACTTCTGTCAAACAATTATTATGTATTAGACACTGATTTAGCCAATGAAGATCTGGCATAACAAGAGAAAGAAAATCGATGCTCTCATAGAATTTACACATTCACTACGTTTTTCTATAAAAGTGCAGCAGAGAAACTGACACAAACTTAAAGCCATCACAGCAAACAGAAGAAAAGGACAAATAGGAATAATCTTCAGCAG